TTAGGAAAACAAATATTCAGGATCCCGCTGAAAAATAACAAGTTGAGGGCCTGTGGCTCAAGCAGCGGTGGGTTTCACCACTTGATAATTAGAAGAGTTATTTACACAGTAAGAGGAAGAAGTCATTTAGCTATTAGAATAGATTGCTACTAGATGTTTCTGTGAAAAGCTCCTTATGCACACATAAACAGCTGAACAGGAAGTGACAAGTCATGCTGCTAAAACCTTGAAATCGTTCCACTTCTGCTTTTATACAGAAAGAGTTAGTCCACAATACTTCCAAATATTCCTTTTAATAGTACCTTGCAGTACTTTTGATAAGAAATATAATGATTTGTGATTGTTCTTGTTAAACATTACTGCATTACATATTGAACATAAAAGAGAGAAGAGACCCACTCCTCCTTAGTGATTTGAAGTGATCATTTCCAAGATTTGACATACTTGGGAAGCATATGTGATTATTTAATGATGATTAAATTATAGTTTTACTTTGTAGGACCTAACTAAGCAGTATCAGTCCATTTATTTAAAAAAAAAACATTCTTATTTAAATCATGTATATTACATTACATTACTTGTCACTTATGAGACGCTTTTATCCAAAGCAACTTACAAACATTCAATACTGTGGGCAATCCCCACAGGAGCAATTGTGGGTGAAGTGTCTTGCCACAATATAAATAATAAGTGGTTATATATGTAGGCCAAAAGCAGAAACTTAAAGAATTACAATTCAGCTTTTTTGCGAAAAATGTGCTCATACTGTAGCAGTACTTGTAAAAAGTCCCTACTGTTCTTGGGAGCACAATAAATCAAAGGATTATTTCCTCTCTGAAAAACTACCAAACATCAGACTGATTTGTGTCACAGTTTGGACTCAGTGGAGCGGAGAGAGCAGATGAGCATGAATCCTCTTAGTCTGAAGTTTACCTCTGCATTATTTCCCTGAAAGATTTTTGCAAAAGAGAGAACTTAGTAGGTCTTATCTTCTTCCTTCAACACAGATGATCATGCAGAACTTTGCCAGCATGACTCGTGACTTATTGTCTTTTTAATCATTTTGCAGAAGTTTTTTGACGTTGATGATATGCCAATAATTCTTAGTGGTTTTACGCTTGTGAAATTAATCACCACTCAACTGTTAAAGGGGCCCTATGATGCTTATTTACAGGTTTCATATTTGTAGTTTGTGCCTTTACTATGACATGTTTACATGCTTCAATGTTCAAAAAGCTCTTCATTTTTCGTATACAGTACTAGCGAGATTTCAGTCTGCTCTGATTGGTTAGCTGGCAGGCTCGGTTGTGACAGTTTATGGCGCTTTTCCACTGCAGGACCTAGCACGGCTTAGCACAGCTTAGTTTGGCCTTGGTAGGCCAGGCTCACTTTAAGCTGCGTTTCCATTACAGTTTAGTAACTGGGGTAGTTACTATAGTAACGCAGTGTAGGCGGGGCGATCGGCTGTTTGGCAGGCGGAGCGACGCTGCGTAAAACTGCTGTGACGTCATCTTCAATGCGAACCACAAAACCAAAACATCCGCCGTTAGCTGTTAGCACTCAGAGCTCACAGCTCCTCATATCTATTCAGAAACTAGACAAAAGTTAAACAAGTACAAACCACAGACTGTCTGTGTCATGGCGAATACAGTCGCTGGTTTATTTATGTCTGTAGGCCGTTGTTGTGAGTGTGGACGGAGCATATACAACGTTAGCTTAGCCTGACCGATCCGATCTCCATTCAGAAAACACGCATTTTAAAAGGTTTTTCGCCTGCCGTCTTGTCTACAGACCGGTATCAGTATGTTGTTACTTCGGCATCAGTTTGAAACGTGTATTACAATTAAATCACGGTAAAATCTGTTCATTTTGATGTAGTTGTAGCCCCCTTGCCAGCGATTCTCTCTGACCAATCAGCAGTCGAGAGTGTTTGCGTCACTAGTTTAGCATATTTAGCCCGGTTGTTGGCCCGGTAAGAACCTCGATTTTGGAGGGCCAGAAAAAAGGTGAAAAGTAGCCCTGAGCCGGAACTACCCCTAGTGGAAAAGCAAAAAAAAAAACGGGCCACCGCTTAAACCGTGCTGCAGTGGAAAAGCGCCATTAGAGATGTCCCAATAGAAGCATGGGAGTGATGTCACTATGTCACGGAAGAACACAAAGGAGTGGGAAAACCCAAAAAGGCACAATAGGACCCCTTTAAATGAATGTGCTTCTTGTAAATCATGTTTGGGAGAAGTTGGTTTTCTTGACTCACATCTAAACTATAAGCATACCCCAGGTGTAGTTTGGGTGAAACAGATGAACGAAGAAAAAAGCTTCACTTTCTCTTTTCAGTTTTAGTCATTTGATTAACTTTCTCACTATTTCAGAAAATCCCATGATTTTGCATTTGAAAAACCTCTTTCTGCTTTTTTCTCTCTTTATTTCTTCGTCCTGTGGACAACAGAAAAGTACATATTTACATCAAACTAAATGCCCTTCTAGACGTATGCAGCCTCGATGAACTCTGCCTTGGTGCATGAGTCTATAACAGCAGCGCCTGAAATGGCATCATCTACTGTGGTGATCTGAATTTAGCTCATGAGAAATGCAGATGAATTCGGCCCCCTTCGCTACAGGCCATGAAAATGTCTCTAGATTTCAAAGCCCATGTGTGGTACATGAGCAAAACTTCTGAGAGATCTGTCAGGCGATGCACCCAGCGTCTAGTGCAGGCTGAAAAAAAGAGAATCTAGTCTTTTACTTCCTGAACTTCAAAGGGGCCTCACTTTCTCAGTGTGGCCATCTAAAGGCTCAGTGGTGTTTGACCCATCTCTATACTTCTCTCTGGAGCTTCTTTCACCTTTTCTCCCACAGATACAGGGGTTTTGATTAACATTGCAGACCTTCAGACTCCTCTCTATAAGCCACAGCAAAATTATTGTAGGAGCCTGAACCCCAGGATAAAAATGTAAGGAGGATATCGCTTCTGATATTGAAAACTTCTTGTTTTTTGCACTGCTGAACTTCAAAATCGTGCAGAAGTTTTTTGTTTGTTAAAAGAAACAAAAGGCCTCCACGAATGTTTGGGCTTGGATGCCTGCAGTTCTGCATTTGAGCGAGGGATTGAAGAGAAAAGGGCGATAACATTTTAGACATTTTCGTAACATGAGGTTTGTGGTTTTTACGCAATATGACAATTAGCATTTGATCAAAGGTGGAAGGATAACACCTCCGCACCCATTTCCCTGTTCCTTTTGTTTTTGCCGGAGAGTTGGTACACTTTTGCTTAGGTGTGTGTGGGACTGTGTATGACTGTGTATGTGAATGCGTATGTGTGTCTTTAAAGGCAGTTTTTTTAGATAAAAAGTCATTTTTTTCTAATTATTGTATTTGAGAGCACACTGGCAGGCGTGATCTCACTCACACACACACACACACACACACACACACACACACACGACCACGACCACACACACACCCACGCACACACACACACAACAAACACACAAACAAAATACAATAATGGTCATTTCTTGTATACTCCATGTTGCAATAAAGACACAAGGCATTATCAGCATGTATTCAAGCCTTTGAAAGAAAAGATGGATGTAGTATCTTCATCATATTTTAAGAAACTACATCCTAAATGCCATGTAACTGCACTCAGAATATAGCTCTCTTGCAGTTCAAAGGGGAACTTTTTTTTTTAAATAGCTTTTAGAAAAACCTGCATATCATTTTTAAACTAGAACAATTACAAAAAGTTGTTAAAACAACAATTAAAATACACAATTCATTTGGAGTAATTATTTAATTAAAGGCCGATACGTGTGTGTTCCTACAATGGAAATATCAGTGTCCTATGATGTGACAGCGCACTTGTTTTCTGATCATTAGAAACCCATGGCCTGAAACCTTCTGTCAAACACAAGTGTCGCATATTAGTGAATTAATGCTCATCGACAGGCCGCATCTCAATGCTCAGTGACCCGGAACAGGCCCGCTCAGGGGCTCCGAAAGCTCGCAGACCCGGGTGCTTGTTTTTTTTATCTCAATTTCAGTATCATCGTCTCTACATCCGCCTACTCGAGATATCGCGTTGGAGGTTTAACAATCAGAAAGTTGGTTTCTCACTTGATCACATCTCCTTTTTAAATGAGCATCGAGAAGCCATAACAGAGATAGTTTTTCTCACTGATTTCGATAAAGTCGATCCTAATATAAAAATCACCGGGTATTATTGCAAAGTACTGCCTGGAGTAATGAGGAATTAAAATGCACCACTTACGCAACAAATGTAATATGTATTGATTTGCCTCTGGATTAATTTCCCCATGTTTTTTCGGGGTCAAGCAAATGTGTCAAAAGGTTTTCCAGCAACTCAGCTTGCAATTGCTATGTGCTCAATGACTTTTGACCAAAGCCATTTTTTTTTGTTGACGATTAACAAACAAAAAAAAAGAAAAGAAGAATAATAGCAAATTGTATATTGGAGTTTACTGAAATAAAATGTTAAGTAGGCCTAAGCATTTTTATTTTGACAGGACTATCCATTTATAATAATTTACTGTAAGCGTTTTCCATTACGGCTCTTATGTTAACTTGCAAAAGGAAAGCGTAAATCTATGATGCTAAACATGTTCAGAGGTGATTCTCATCAAATAAATAACGTAAAGCTGCCAACACCTCCGTCACCTGACGGCTGATGGGGATGCCTGCAAAGTAAACGGGAGCTAAATGATGAGTGAACCCTGACCTCCACTCAGCACAGACAGCATGACAGGGGTAATTTATTTCTCAGAAAAAAACTGTTTTCAAGTTCAGTTGTATAGGAAGTTGCAGTGTTGTGGTATGTGTTCTTTCATAAGATAAGAGTAGTGGTGGAGTGAATTTGAATTTGAAAGTGTAAAGCCAAGTAGTTTTTAAAATGTCCTTAACCTATTTCATCAAATCTGATAAGAGAGGGCAGTATTTAGTTATTTTCGGAAAAAAGGTGATTATTGTTGTCTGTCACTTACCTCCCCTGTTTGGTGATTATCATCTCGGTTTGGAACTTGTGGAACTTGGCCCATAGCGGGTAGTTATTGAGCAGAGCCTGGGTCTTCCCGCACACCTGTAGCCCAGGTAAAGGGTAGAGAGGCGGCCGCTGGTAGCCGTGCTGAAAGCTGGCCGTGTAGTTCTCCGGGGAAGGAGAGTACAAGTCTTTACCGGCTGTAGAAAACCCGTCTCCCGCCACGGAGATGTACCCCTGCACGGCTCCGCTTCTTGGCGGCGAGCGCACCCCGCCGTACGGACAACTACCGAGGGTCTGTGCGTAAAACCTGCCCGGCTGCGCTCCGTACCCTCCCACCGCCTGCTCCGAGTGGTACGGCAGAGCCAGGGCGTCCTGCCCGCTCTGAACAGAGTCTGGGTAGTAAAACCTGGCGTCCTGGATCCCCATTTTAAACTCTGCTAGATCCTTGCCGCCGCGGTGGAGGTGACTGCTGATGTCCGTGCTCTTTCCGAAAGTTTGCGTTTCAGTCCCATTCAACATACTGAGGTAAAGGTTGCCACCTATGCCGCCCATTAGCAGCCCCGCTCCCGGTCTGTGCGTAATGTCATAAGGCTCCGCTGTTGCGTCCAGTTCAATAAGAGCATGCACAATAAATACAAAGCACAAAACAACACTGTGGACTGTTATTCTCAGCAGCGCACAGACATGCCACAACTTTTCAAATTCAGTGTCTCACTCGGTCAAAGCATATCATTTAAGTGATCAGCTCACACCGCCTCATTAGGATATTTATCTATAAACTTTGTTATTACCCGTGCAGCTGATTGTCTGATTATTTTGACGCGTGGAGTCGCTACTAGTGACTCAAACACACGCTCAGTTTTTCTAACCTATGATATATACATTTTGTAAGTGGTCATATTGTGGAGGTGTGTCTGATGTGGAGGGAGGACGTGATAGGCTCCAGATATGAAAGAGCCTTCCCCCGATCACACACAACACACATCACACACACTGCCCTTAGAAAAAACGAAGTGTAAGTTGCTCTAAACATTGAAGAAGAATATTATTTAAAATAAAAACATAACAGGAAATAACATACAAAAAAATAACTGATGTAATATAACAATTTAGTGCCAACAAACTCAGTTTTGGGGACAATCTTGTCTATTTTCGTTCTTTACATGAATAATTAACGATATCATGATAAGTGTCCTGCAAGGAATTGAATTAAAACTAAACATTATTCATTAGGCCAATGAATTATATTATTTCGTATAAGATATAACATTAACTTAACTTAATATTAACTGCATATTTTGCTTTGGGTTCATACGTTTTAGGTCAGACGATTCTATATGTTGTAAATGTAATTATAAGACGAATGATTAATAATATATTTCAAAAAATAACTTGTTTTTTCCTAATGGGTCTTCCTAAAAAACATGGTTTGACACTGTAAGCTTATCGGTTAACACATAAGCGATATATGGTCATTTAATACAAAATGAAACAAAACATCTTTGCCTTTTTTTTTTTTGCGTGATATAATATGAGCTTTTTCTTTTTTTTAACACATTTTTTTCACACGTTCCTCCCCGGTGACGGGTTAATCCACAACCGGTTATTCTCATTTTTTATTTGAATGATGAAAATCTGTGATTTTTGTTAGTAATGACGAGTAATGAAGCTGTGTGAATACTAAATACCCTATTAGGCTATAACAGTCGTCACGTAGTGTTATATTATGAGAAGCATTTTTTAATTTGTATGAATTAAATACACATCAATTAATACATAGAAAAACTCAAATTCAGGTCATGAAAACATGAAATTAATTAAAAATATGTTTTTATACTTTTCTCGCTTTCTTTTATTTGTTGTTGATAACTCACTAGAAAACCCCCAGAATGATAATGATGTCAGAAGGGGAAGTTAGTGAGTAGTTCAGCCTCTTAATAAGATAAAAGACATGAGAAGAATCTCCAGGCAGAAACATATACTCAAAATGATCTCACTCCCAGCACAGGCCTGTGTTAGGCCCTCAGTATTTACATGTTTAAATGAATCTTGGTGTTGTCCTTTATGATTTTCACATGCTTGGTGTTGTTGGTCACAAGTTGCCAGTTGTGGCAGCATCAGGGAAGGTTTCAGTCCTAGGCAAATGTTCATTATTAACTTTCACAAACGTGGTTGTTGAAGCATCATACAGCACGTCACCAATCACACATAATTTGATCTGGATGAAACAGAAAGGTTTGTAACACAGCAGCATTCTCTGCTCTTTAAAGGTAGAATCATTTACGTATCTGTATGAAAACAAGTAGACATGTCATGTATTTGGTTGGGTTATATACATATGTTACACCAAATACTTTAAACAATTTTAAACCCAGAGAAATCCATAATTGTAATTGAGGTAACCCTTGGTTTGATTTCTTCGTCTGTAATGGGGTGGAATCCCCTTTGAGCATGTGTCACGGTTCTGGTAGTTCGCTATATGCTTTCCTAGATTTACCTTTTTTATCCAGTTTTAATAAGTAACATTCCTTTGTAAAACGTTTTATGTCATTTTAAGATGATGAAAGATGTTGTTCTCCGGGTGCCTGGATCTTAAGTTTTCAGAAACAAACTAAGCCAAGGTTAGCAGTTAGCTATTCAGATTTTTACGAGAAACTGCTTTATTCACATGTTTATTCTATTGAAATTACTGCATCTGTTTGTTTTTGAGTGGAGGATACAAATGCAGGTAATTCGGCTCTCAATGCAGATGAACTTCCAAGTCCCGAGCTACTTTACGATGCCTCCAACATTATTTTGATTGAGAGACCCCTAGTGGCAGAAAATGTTGTACGTTTAAGAGCTTTTAGCGTCTTCTTTTTTTGATGTTGCTGATCAGCTGAGTGTGAACAGAGAATCATAATCTCAGGTGAAAGAGATAACCCTGGGGTATAAACAGCGACACACACATTAATAGTTGAAACCCCCCTCCAGTGCAGGTATGACACAGTTATCCCCCTCACACTGTCACCGCTCCGTGTCTCTCGTAGCAAGGTGAGTTCATAAGGGCACACGCTGAAGTCATCAGTGTTGACACTGGTAGCGAGAGGGCAACAGTGTGAGCGACACAAGCGCCGCCACAGCCAGCCAGGCGTGTTCACCCCACCCCCCATCACCACCACCCTCCACCTCCAGCTGGAGTCACCATTTCCTCCGCTCAGCTCTTCCTGCTTCCGGAAACAGCCCCGGGCTATCACCTTGTGAAGCACAATCAGCTTTCATTTATTCCTGGAAGTGTTAATAGCACGTCAGGTGGCTCTCGTGTTCTCATGCATGGGAACATCGTAGAGTACACGCAGAAATACAGAACAGGATAAATCATTTTAATGTGGATGTAGATCCACCCTTTTCAACTAACAGATTACATTTGGATTTATCCAGAATCTGCTGCTAGTTTGCACGTGTGCCTGCAGAAATGTCTGAGCTCCAGAAAAGGTCAGGTGAAAGGGCCTTCCCCTATTCTCCTTAAATATCAATACACGCAGCTATATCTCCTACTAACCCCCATAAATGTAAACTGGTTTAAACCCTTTCAAGCTCTCTTTTTTTCTACTTTCTGTCTTGTTTTCCCGATTCATGTGCAAGTTCTGGAATATCAAAGGCATTCATTCCAACATTAGCTAGCCTATATGCTAGTTTAGATAAGTACATTTCTCAGATCATGTGGTCGTCTGCCTGCATCTTTCCTTGCAAAAAATAGGCCTACAATTTTCAGATAGAGGCGGTTATCATTATGAAAAAAAAATACGAAATAGTGAATGTAAAAAAAGTCTGGCCTCCATGATCCCCCGTCGGAGATGTGCCTCAGAAAGCTTTCCCCTTTTTTACCCCCTTATAGGCGCTGCCTGTATCTCATTCTGTGTGAGAGGATGTTCTGAAAAGTGAATTATAATCGCCCTCATACTTGCAGACATGATAGGCAACTGGACACTAGTAAAATCTTGACGGCTGTAAAATAATCTTGTAAAAAGCGAGTGTGGTGGACTTGAGCTGACAGATTTAGACATGATAGATGGGCACATCCGCAGATGTCTTAACGTGTCTTCATTAACAGTTTCACCTGACCGCTCAATTAAAACGGATGATATCTTGTGAAAAGGAAGACATGGCGATGATAAGTACACCCTGAAATCATCTGGTTGTTAGAAATATATAACAGGTTTTTTATATCTGTAATAAATGACAGTTTGGATTTCTCACTCACATTAAAAGCATCAGTTTGTGTGAGATGAAGAACTTGTAAGGCAGTCAAACAGCGTCTGAACCTTCTTCCCAAGCACTTTTTCAATGTTGGAGTTTCAGAAATGTTTTGTAACTTTCAGAAGCCAGGGATCGAACAATAACACTTGATTCAGGGAGCTATTGCTCAGGTATATCAAAACCGAAGTTAAGAGCATTCTATCAAGTCAAAGTTCATGTTCTGTTGGGACAGTCATCCCGGCCTCTTACCTACGGCATTAATAAAGTCCTATAACATCTCCCAACTTCCTTCTTTGTTCCTGACAATCCTGCCTGGTATCAACAAATGGCATTAAATAACACACCAATTTGTTTTTGCATGCAACCACTACACAGTTTTTGCTTTTAATGTGTCATTTTCTGCTTCATTTATATTGAATGCTCATTAAGTCATACATTACTTCCTTTCACCCAGAAAAAGCAGTTTCTCTCCCGAGTCTAACACAAACAGTTGAGTTATATACATTGACAACTTAACTTACGTAACTTCATTTATGTAACAAACATCATTTAAAACCCAACCCAAACTATGATCTTTTTTTGAAACACAACCAATGTGTTTTTGTAATTTTCACTTTGATTTTAAAACTGCATGTGATGAAAGGGAACGCTGCATTTAATGACATGCTAGTAGCTTATTTTTGTTGACATTTTCAACGTTTCTCTTGGGAGTCTTGTACACGTCTCCCGCAGATGTCTTTGGATGAGTTCTTCCGACTGAACCCTTTAGATGGGTATTATTTTTGATGTTGACAGCTCTTAGTTTACAGCTTGTTCCAGCTGAATCTGCACTGGAAAGACCACCGGCCCCCATTTGAAACCTGAGTAGGCTACATGTTTCTCTAACTCATGACCACAATGTTCACTATGTCAAACGCATATTTATGCTTGTTGGTAAAACTAATTTCCTGTATATTGTATTCCAGCCAAAACAGCTTGATTGAATATTCAGCCTAACTTCTTAATAATATGTTTTTAAATGTTACTGTTATCCTCATTGCTTCAAGTTTCAAGTCAACTATTCCTTTCAGGTGTAAGACCACCTCAGCCATAAATATCCGCGTCTGGACATAATGCCGATGTGGGTGGGCATGGCATGTCTGACAGACTTCACAAATCAAACCCGGTGCACAGGCTGAGCCAGGGCATTAGTTTCACTGGGACTCCAGTTTGGTGCACATAGAAAGCAGTCTAATTACAAAATATGACGTTTCCTCACGTAGCATGGGAGATTTATGTCTTGCTTCCAAGTGAAAATAACTATGTAGTCATTAAATCATAAGAATCTCTGAGTTAGATGAACTACCGGACACTGATTTATTTATCTGACGTAATTAGGCAGTTGAAATCATCAAAAAGAGTGTAATCTAGATGATGAGCAGGAAAATATTGATGGTGTTAAATCCATACTTCTTATTTCAAATCCTGAATAGTACATGTTCTTTGGAGGCTTTTGAATCTAAAAACCAACTCAAACACAGTAAGAGTAATAGTTTGCCGTTTTAGATTTAATAAGAGGAAGTCAATTTTAAATACTTATTTTTTGTCTAAAATG